TGAAATACCTACTTAAAGAACGTGCCCTCCTAAACTTCACTTTTTATTTTGTAATGGCGGATACAACTAGGGTTGTGACTTTTGAAACAGTAGAAGTAGCGATATTTTGGTATTGGCTTTAATTAACTTATTGACAAAATTATTGCCAGATTGACAATGATGTGTTGTCTCTTTCTGCTTAGGCAAAGAGACATACGTAAAGAAGAAACAACAGTATGTTTATGAATTTACCGTCGAGATAGATCTTAAATTCTAACTGTAAACAAGTCCGACATCTGCGTTACTATTACATCTATGCCTGTGATATTTCACTACTGACCTATAGGCTTCATAAACAAAAGAGGATTTAGCCATAATCTCTATACTTGATTGGTGGGTTTTTGTTAAGGGGGAAAAATCATCGAATGACTTCTCCTGTCCGGGTAAGGCGAAAAAGAGTGTCAGACTCTTACTGAATACAAACCGCCCCGTACCTAGTCCTGATAGGTGAGTTAGAGATCGTAATTTTAACGGTTCAGCTTATGTGCAGCGCTGCTTCTTTCTCAAATGTACCCATCCTCTTAGCCTATTGTCATCACAAAAATAACATTGATACCTACTAAGAATTCCAAAAATATATAGTATGTACCAAAATAGTCCCATTTACCATCTAATAAAATTTATTCTACCTTCCCAATGCATTTCAATTTCCCCATAAATTACGTTCAAAGAAAATTATGTCGACAGATGTAATAGTCCTAAGTTATTGGTTAGATAAAATGCATGTAGGGTACATTTTGTTTTAGTTGCGTAATATTAGGAAGTGAGATTTCGGATTCAATGGAGATTACTGAAAATGTATTAGGCATAGTAATGCTTTGCTCGTAATTGTTGCTTAGCCATCGTTATGCCTCAGCAACAATACAATACAACATCATTTCAAAATAGTTTTTTACAATAATTTGCGTAGGAAGTTCAGTAATTACTTTTTTATCGATTCCGAAATAATTTAAAAGGCAATCTTCATTTATATTGGCACTAAATCCAAAATAATAGGAATAAACTTTGTAACCACAAGTTCCAAATTCAAATTACTTAGAAATGTTCATTCTATTTTTATACCAGTACCAAGTTAAATATTCGAAATTCGAAATAGCACACAACATTCAAAAAGTTTGCGCTCATAAAAAAACGAACCAATTACAAGGCGTAATGGCAGCCATTGATACAGATTAACCAATCACGTGCTTTTATTAGCCGCCTTTCTTGTGCATCACGAAATGGCGCCAAGTTATCGCGGTCAGCATTTGTGTATGATCGTTGAAATTTATTTTTTTTTAGAAATAACTAATGTAAAAGAAAACTTTTGTGTTGTTAGACTTGCTTGTACCTATATTTATGTACCTCTATATATATTTGTTAGTTTGCTCCTGGAAGAAGTGAACCGATGATCCTTGTGATTATCTTCACAATTGCAATTCTAAATACAATTTTTTGTAGGCATTTTCGGCCTTTGACTGCCTCGTTGGTCTAATGATCGGTAGCACGATTGTCAATGAAGTAACATAACAATAAAATAACAAATCATTTTATATTTTGATTTGTAACTTATTCAACATAAATTCTTTAACCTTATAAAATCCAATAGACAACGTTCACCAAAACCCAAAGTCCAGTCTCAAAGAATTAATAGAAATCGTTTCACGCATCGACAATACGAAAGTTTTTTCAAAAGGATCACGTATACACGTTCCATTCAAGTTTCGCGTTATCAACGCTTTGGTTGCCCACATTCTGTTCTTTGGGCAAAAACTTTATTTTCGATAAAGACTCTCTAACGAGTTCGAACTTGCTCAATGTTAGTGTTAAGTTAGAAGGTTTATTTATCCAAAGGCTTTTCTGATGCCACAGGCGTTAGATTAACGGTTCCTAATGACTTTGATGCTCACCAATTGGATTAGTTTTGGGTACGCCCGTATATTTTTAGGCGTTTAGCCGTTTACGCAATGTGTGGGTTTTGTGTACCTAATGTTTTTACTTTAGTTAATTGGGGATGTGTGATTAATTCTAACTATTTGGTAACATAACATAACATCACGCCTTTTATCCCCGAAGGGGTAGGCAGAGGTGCACATTATGCCACTGTACAATGTAACACCCACTTTTCACTATTTATGTTATGAGTCCCATGTAATAGGGGGTGAGCCTATTGCCGTATACCCAGTAGTACTTTGCCCGACCCGGGAATCGAACCGAAGACCACTTGCCAGGCAGTCGCACTTGCAACCACTCGGCCAACGAGGCAGTCTATTTGGTGTTCGATAAAAATACAGTTTTACGTGGTAATATTTTATTCGCTGTTTTTTGTCTAAACACAATTTTAACGAGACTTCTGTAATACCGGCAGCTAATTAAAAAGCTAAGCTAATTAACACCTAAAGTCCTACAAACAAAAAAATACTTTAACACAATTGAAATACGTAATACTTTTCCGGACACGTTTGAAATATACGGAATTAACTCCCACTTTCACGGCGTGCCTTTAAAAATGCAAAAGTACGGGATGGTTGTAATAAAAAGTATGCACCCGTTATCTCATGACATCTAATCTGCATGATGTAACCTCGTAATGCCCGGGGGTATAACCGGAGCGTAATATAAATACGCGTCTCGTTATATTCTTTCTCTTTTTCCAACGTTTTTTGTTCAACTTCCCAGCTAGTTGTTTGCTCCCGATCGTTTTATGTTTAATGCAATTTTAATATTTTCTACTTTATCATTTATAAATATTGAGATGAGCGTATTTAAGAATGTTTCTTTTTGTATGTATTTGTTTAAGAAAAGCGACTGCTGCGATGATGGGGTTTGCTTCTTTGAACATGGTAATTGATATGCGTATTCTGAATTTATGTTTTATGCAGTAATAATAAGGTTTTCTCTAGAGCGAGGTGAAAAATCATTAAAAATTCCTCATCTTTGAGTGTCCTAGTTCTACTGAAATCCTGTTTTTGGATACGCTAATTTGTACAACACAATATATTTAAACTGTCAAACACCAAGCGGTCACCGGTGACCGCAACCTATTGTTCTATAATTGTGTCTGTATTGACAGTACTCGACGAGTTAATAAGAAAAAATCCTGCACAGGGCTACACTGACCAAAACCTGCTTAGACAGATTACTTTACGAAAGTTCCAACTATATGAACTGACTGATATACCAAGTGCACATCCCAAGTGGTTGCGGTTGCAACTCAGATATGCAGGTGGCATTAGTTATATCAGGGATGATTGCCAGACGCAGTAATAATTAATTCAACCACAGACTAGAACAGCCGGTATCTGCGGTGTCACACTAATAACAACCGCTTCATATCATGACAGATGTGCATTGTGCATGTGTGTGTTCTGTGTTATACGGATTATCTTTGTGTTAAGAAATATTTTGTTTCTACGACGAAAATGTGTTGTTACTACGTGTATTGTTAAAAGTATTTGTTTGACTAGTTTTTTCTAAGCCATATGACGGCAAGCGTTGCCTTAATCCTACAGAAGCATGGTTTTACTACGTTAAGAAGTCAATTAACTTACCATCAACTTACATGTGACTATCCCACCACTGTATTGAGCAAGGTATCTCCTACTGCCAAGAAGGAATGAGAATTAAATACTAATTACCACACTTATTCAAGGCGGATTGATGATTTCAAACTTATAATTTGAATTCAATCACGATGCATATAATAAAATAATATAAATGATGTCATAGAACCGTGATATTTTTATCAAATTGTAACCCTAACCTATTAAATGTAAGGTTTAAACCAAAATATTCTAAGACTACTCTTATAAATCAATGGCTTTATACTATATCTAACTACATATATCAGTTTCAATTAGTGTACAATTGGCTATATTTATACTTTGAAAGCAAAGTGAATCCTACAGTGCGCTCCATCAATTTGTCAAATTAATAGTAATTGCCTTTTGCCAAGGCTTCCTCCATATTGTGACTAATTTGATCCAATACTGTTACTTGAATACTACTACTAATATTCGCTACTGTATACTTACTTTATAAATAACTAGCTTTTATACGTGGATCTGCTCGCATGGCCAAAAGAAAAAAGATGACATGTATCATCTCTATAGATTTGAAAACCATACCTTGGTATCACTCCGTTATTTGATATCATTCCGTTGTAACGTAAAACAAAGGCAAATAAAAATATACTTTCGTAATTATGGCCATAGTCAAGATTTTGGCTGTTAAAAAAAATGTTTTAACAAAAATCATACCTATATTAACTAAAAATCGGGGGTTACTCACGTGGATATACTGAGAAAAGCTCTACTAGTTTCAAACCACAGAGGGGTTCTTCCTCATGAGCAGCGCGTGCGGTCGTGGCGATGTCGTGCAGCCTACTGGCCGTGCATTACTAGGTACGTGTGTAACCCGCGATTTTTAGTTAATTTTGTATGTTTTACGACAGTTATTATAAAAATATATAGCAACAAAGTTACTTTCAGTCGTCAGATTTCGATAAAACAAATAGAAAATATATTTCTGGTACACAAACATACATAGAATTCTTCAATCCCGAATACAATGAAACATGATATATGGATGGCAACAATTTTATTCAGTAAACACTGTTTACCTCTTAAAAATATACCTTATGTATTTGATATTAAAGTACAATTTACTAAGAATAACTATATACTACTCGTGTTTCTTGACCTAACCACACAGTTTTTATTTCTCAATGGAGAAATAAAAGAAAATGAATGTACTAAATTATACACAGTACAATTCAAAACAGGAACTTATCTAAGAAAAATACAATATTCTGATACGAAAAGAATATAAATACAAAGAGAAAATACAAACGTTTTTGACTAGACTTTTCTGTGTTACACAGAAAATATATAATCAAGGAGAAAAACGTTTAATGACTTTCTAAAACAGAACATAAATAAATTATAAATAAAATTATACTAATAACCTACGCAATAGCAACGCTAATATAGTTCCTCTATTGAAGGCATAAAATTTTCCGGAACTTGCGAGTTGTCTACATGACGTTTCCTAAACGCAGGAGCTAAAAAATGGGGCTTTTCTGTAGTAGAAGTACTTGTTATAATTGAATTTAATCTATGCCTCTCCTTTTCTTTCTTCATTTTCTTATTCACCTTTCTTTTAGCGATAGTCAAAAATGCGTTAGACTCTGGACTGTCGCAAGGGTATGATTTCTTAACACTGTAAATATGACAAGTTGTCGCATGAGTAACGTTATTTTGTTCTACGTTGACTTGCGTATTTGTTTCTTTAACTTTTAGCGCATAGACCTCTCCATCAACGTATTTTGTAACCGTCACCGATTTTGTAGCTTTCTTCTTCGACTTACTCCTTTTAGGTTTAGAAGTGGCTGTTTGTTGTTGTGTCGTTTCAAATGCTTTTGGTGTTTCTCTCTTAATACGAACATTATATGTGTAACGATTCCTTAATACATCTTCATGTAATTCGTCCGGTCTTGGTCGAGATTTTATAATATGATAATGAGCCTTATAAGCTTTGATTGCTCGTTCCATACAATCGATACATGTTCTGCATTTCACGTCCATAAAAACCATTTGTAGATCACTGAGTATGTTTACCAAGGGTGGTCCGTTGATGTTTAATAGAATCCTTTTTGGCATCAGCATTTGGTTAATAATCATCGAGTTGTTGTATTTTATATCTATATCTGTTAGTCTTAGCCGCCTAGCATTACGTTTTTCCGCTGTAAATAAAACCATTAGCAGTTATACACAAGGAAAATATGACTTAAAAATGCTTTTAAATTATAGTAAGCATCATACGCAAATTAATGCATTCACATACTGCAGACACATATTGCACATATGGCAGATCAGTGGTTTTAGCTATTTTTCTCTTCTTTTAGCTGGAACTACCACTATTATTAATATACGATTGAATAAATTTATCATTCAATCAAATCCTTTTATTTTTTTAAATAAATGCTTTTACTTGTACAATTTGATGACACATAATTAGAATGTACCAGATATCAACGGTTATTTGAAAAAAAAATATTAAATTAAGTCATATAATTTCTTAAGTGACAACTCACCTGACGCTTGCGGCAAATGTACGACTAGCGCACAGAACAACAAGGAACTCATTAGTTCCATTTGTTCTCTCGTTCTGAAGGTGTCTTCGCTCCTGCAGACAATCTTCTTACTAAAGTACGCTAACAAGCTTCGTTACTACGCGGAGTTTTACAAAACGCGCAGTGTTGTTCACAGTCGCTCGCCAGACGCTCCTTCGTGCTCCTGCTAAAATGTTTTCAAGTGTACATGGTTTGTAATAATTAAACCTTATGTAATTAAATTACTAGTTTCTCTAGAATTACTCCACTAATCTATATACTAATCTATCTATACCTACAAATAAAAATTCTACGAAAATATTTTTCAGAAAAATCACGTTTTCACTTTCACCAAAATTTGCGTCATCCTAAATCCACTTGAAACGAGACCGGGAATTTTAAAAAATGCCGGTCAATGTAATTTTCTTCTACAGAAACACGTCTCGATTCCAATAAATGTCTATAATAGTGCGGTTGCAAAATGAAAACTCTTTCTTATATCCATCTAGGCGAGTGACACACTGACGCATTATGTGATCCATTGTTTACTCCCTGTTTACACAGGGCACTACTGGCGACATTCGACAATTGAATGTTTGCTCTGTACCCTGGATTCTAAGCCATTGTGATCAAGTCGATATGTTTATGTTCCTTCAATAACCGGATAGTCGCATCCGTGTGCATGATTACATTCAATCCCTACTTCACATGTACTATTGACCTATGCAATTTCTTTTATTAATGGGAAAATGTTTAATTTCTATTACAATAATATTTTTAATTTTTCCTGGTGAGAGCATTAGGGATCTAAAGTTCGCACGACATTCTTACGGATGTCGGGTGTAACCACGTGTAGCTGACTATTCGACGCGAAGATTTAGAATTCAAATGTTTGCTGTAATAATTCTTGGATTTAATTAGCGTAAGTGAGTACTTTATATACAGCATAACATCAATAGTTACCAAACAAAAACTAACAGTTGGGCACGATTGTAATGCTTTTTTCGTTTCCATTTTCAACTATGTTCAATTTTAAACTATCTTCCTTTTTCCTCCCTGTTACTATATTATTATTATAAGTTAAAGATTAAAAAATAATATGACGATTTATCGTTTTGTTTCGTCGTTTATCGTTAACTATTTTCTTTTCATTTCCACCCGCAATTAAAAAAATCTTCAACTAAAAATCGTAACAGAAAATATCAGGCGCAAACATTTCGAAACGTTCACGGCAAGCGTTCATGTTCAGTTTGGTTCAAATAAAATTACCATAAAATATTATGGTAAAGTGTAGCCGAGCATAAAACCGGGGGCAAACAACTTTTTTGTAACTTATCTCGTTATTCACAAAGATGTGACTTTTATGACGCAAACGGACTTTTAGGTTATTTGTATGCTACAAATATCCCAGATTTGTTCCTATGTTCCGTGCAAATGTTAAGATAAGGCTTTTTATGATACAGATTTCTATCGCGCGATTTGTTTATGTTATTCCGGGATCGAGGTTTACGCGATCGTAAATAGGTGGGCCTGATTGTTTTGAAGACTCTTTGAGTGCTTGAGAATAATGGAGGTAACCATAAACTGGGATTGCTGATGTTTTGTTCTGCAATAGGTGTTCTGTTTTATATCTGTTACACGCACAATATCAGCAATTACCTTTTATTCTACGCATTCATTCTATAATTCTTAAATAACATTATATATTTATATAATTATATATATTTGATGTGTAGACGTACAGCCACTATTAAACTGTCCGCTTGGTATTTGACAGTTTAAACTGTCATACACCAAGCGGTCACCGGTGACCGCAACCTATTGTTCTATAATTGTGTCTGCAAAACCGGTACTCGACGAGTTAAATGATTTTCGATTCAATAATATAGTACTTTTACAATAATTTCTGATATTCTGATTATTTAAGTTCTATGGATCACTCAGATAAGTACTCGAAGAGATTTCTCAATACGTTTCAAGACATATCTGGCCTCCATAATCAGCATTTGATTTAGGCCACCATTGGCATGGTAACTACCAACTATAGTCTTATTTTTTTAATTATTCGTTACGTCAACCAGATATCTATTTTACCTAGAACAAACTTAACGGGTGATTCTTCATATCTGATCTCTGTAACAAAGTCTCTATTGGCCATCTTGCAAAGTCAAAAAACAGACATAAATATTTAAACAATCGTTTTATTTGAGCAAGTAAATATTCATAGGGCGATTTATAAGCCTCGATTTATAACGTAATGTTTTAAAAAAGAAAATCATTTCGTTCTATGTTTACATTATTTTTAGGATTCAAGAATCTTTGACTGCACGGTTGGTGCAGTGGCTGGGCAACCGGCTGCCGTGCAACGTGTCGCGGGTTCGATTCCCGCACGGAACAACTCTTTGTGTGATCCACAAATTGTTGTTTCGGGTCTGGGTGTCATTGTGTATGTGAACTTGTATGTTTGTAAACGCACCCACGACACAGGGGAAAATCCTAGTGTGGGGCAAAGTTAAAAAAAAAATGTTGACCAATTTCTTGAAATATAACTTTTTTTTGAAGGTGAAACTTTGGTTGTGTATAAATTAAAGTGTTTTTGTTTAGGTACCACACTATTTTATTTTATTAATTTTGTTATTTGTTTCTTTAGTTAATTAATTTAGATTGCTGGAGTTTAATTGGTGGCTTGTATATCCGCGAGACACTTAAGGGGCCAGTAGGATACCAGCGCCAAATCCTGTATATCCTGTAAATATCCTTGCACACATTGAAATGGTCGCATTTCGCCGTTGACTTGGGACATGAAGTACTCATATTCTAATCTTCATAATCGTGTATAATTTGTAAATGTCACTTATTTTTAGCGTGTGAAATGAAAATTTTTCTTTCTTTCTTCTATTCCCCGAAGGGGTATAGCAGAGGTGCACATTTCGGCCCTTAATGCCACTGTACAATGTAACACCGACTTTTCACTATTTGTTATACGTCCCATGTAATAGGGGGTGAGCCTATTGCCACATACCGGGCACATTTCCAGACTCCGGGCTACTACTGAGATTTTTAAAAACCCAGTAATACTTTGCCCGACCCGAGAATAGAACCCGAGACCCCTTGCCCGGCAGTCGCACTTGCGACCACTCGGCCAACGAGGCAGTTAAACATATATAATTATTTTTTGGATCTAGCACTGTCATCTCACATTTATCTTCATTGATCGATCTTTTCATACATACAAGCCAGTGAAACCTCCTTGCAATGCTTTTATCTATCTCAAAGTAAAAAAATCCACTACCTATATTTTGCCTGATTCAAGGCTCGTACTCATTCATATATGCTAAATTCTACAACGCAGGATAACTATAATAAAACTGAAGTGTCTGGTTGTAATATTGAAATAACTGATTTTTACTACATACATATGAATATACCTCTACATTAAAAATACCTAAAGTTTTTTTACAATTTGTTTCTGTCTTAAGTAAATTAAGTAAAAACGCGGGTTACTCACGTGAATATACTGAGAAAAGCTCTACTAGTTTCGAACCACAGTGAGCTGCGCGACGTCGCCGCGACCTCGCAAGCTGCTCATGAGGAAGAACCCCTCTGTGGTTCGAAACTAGTAGAGCTTTTCTCAGTATATTCACGTGGGTAACCCGCGTTTTTACTTAATTTAGTATGTCTCACGATTGTTTCTGTCTGTTTCTTTGTTAAACTGTCAAACACCAAGCGGTCACCGGTGACCGCAACCTATTGTTCTATAATTGTGTCTATAATGACGATACTCGACGAGTTAATCTTTGACTAATCTTTGTAAATGCTGGACCGATTTGGACAGGTAGCTGATATACTAAGGTGTAATTTAGGCTACATTTTCAATGACAAAGTTCCACATACTATAGTCATAATTATACTAGTCTATAATAAAAGTGCTAAGAAAACTTCTCTAGCTGTCACCTCGTTCATACAAACTGCAGTAATTTACTGACGTGCTAAATTAAATGTATTCCCCTGGTATGTGGCATTCCCGGAGGGTTAAACTCATTCCGTTTATCGTGTTTTATAGTTCAGTACGTTTATACATTAATTTCTGAATCGAGGAATGTCATTGTGAAATATTGTATGAAAAACTGTCTCGTTGATCGTCAGGTTGGATGTTTGACAGTTGAGCAGGAGGTCTCTCGTTTGTTTCTCAGGTCGAGTTAAGTATTGTTTGGTATAAAACACAATATTATATAATATTTTTCTTCGGTTATATCATTACACCAAATAAATCTAAGATCATTATTGTGTATATTACATGTGTATATTATTAAAAAATAATAGTATATTTTAATATCGGCTCAATAGATTCAATTTCAAAGACAATATATCAAACAGAACAAAACGGATGATATATTTGCGGAATAGTTACTAATTTTTAACAATTAAATTTAAACTTTAATTTTAGGATAATACGATTGAAATAGGCATTCCATAACCGTGTAAACCATGCGATTACAATTCCATAGCATAAAGTTTTGTATTACTGCTGTTTGTGAATGAGGTCGGTTTGAAAAGAATTTGTACCATGCACATTGCACATTGCATCATTGACTTTTTTTAATTTAAGGGGGAAAAATCATCGAATGACATCTCCCGCCTGGGTGAGGTTGGAGGGAGTGTCAGACTCTTACTGACTAAAAACCACCCCGTTCCTTCTCCTGCACGCCGAGCCGGAGCCCCGGTAACCCGCTAGGTTCTCCGCGACTGCATCATTGTCTAGAAAGTTTAAAATAACGGTATTATTACAATAAAATGTTCTCATTATAATTCTCGATTTTTCCAAAGCCAGATAGTGCGAGCTACGGTTGTCAAGAACGGAGACACTTCCTTCTGTGAACGTTTCATGTTGGTAAAGGAGGCGGCTGAGAACTGAGGATTAACTTTCATACTAGAAACCGTATAATGCTAATTTTATTCTACAATTAAAATAAGTCCCTACTATCTCAAAAGTATATTTAACCTTTTTACTGCCTACATTCCTTTTTCTTTTTTTTTAAGTTAGTAGTTAATGAAATTAATCAAAAACTAATCATAATTTAGGTAAAACTAATTACTAAGAAAGCAGAGAATACAAAGAGCTTCAATAATTTAAAACATACCACGTAAAACATAGATATAAACGAGATAAGTATGTAAATACATTTTTTTCATCTCAGCCCAGGAATTGAACGTATTTTAGCGTTGGGCAGTTAAATTCTCATGTAAGTGGCCGTTGATGCTAATCCAATTGCCCATAGAGGAAATTTAACTGATTCTCATGGCCAATCAGATAGAAATATATAGGAATCGTGTTTCAAAGCGGATGATCCAATTAAAATAATTGGTCGATAAAATATTCTTTGTAGCGGATTGAAAAATAATATACTTGAACGCCACGCTCTGAGCGGCTGATTGAGCAAATAC